CCACAGCATGACTGAGGGTGAGATACAGTACACACTACTGGGCTAACACACAGTACATAACCTATCCACCACAATCCTGTTCATTAACTTGCCCTGGACACAATCCTTCATTTGGATGAGCCCAGCACTGTAAAACTTCAGGCGCTCTGTGGCAAATTATGACAATTGAGGGATGCCCAGAGCAGAGTAAAGGGGAAAAGGAGAGGTTTGTTTTAGCAAAGAAAGGCCTGGGTTTGGCTAGCAGTACTTTGGCCTGGATGGAGCATGGCGGTTCTCTGCTTGCACTCTAAGATCTACAGGAGTGCTACAGTGGCTGGCATAGTCATGTTAGCTATAGATGCTGGTGCAGGGCTAGAACTGCCAAGCTCAACTTTTCTGCCAGCCTTGGCTTTGGCATTAGGAATGGGTCTGGAGGCTGCACTGTTGAACAAGTTTCTGGCATCAGTGATGCTCCAAAAGGAAATTACACAAAACAAAAAAAACCCCCAAAAAACTGGCAGTTGGAACCAGATGCTCTGGCATACGGCAGACATTGCCTCCTTTATAGCTATGTCTGACCTTGCTTGGTAAATAGAGTTATCATTCTAGTAACATAATCCCTGAGGGCCACAGCAATATGTAAGCAAGCATTAAGAACACAGAGTGCAAAAGCACATAATACCAGGCTGAAATATAGGCAAAGTTGGAATCATAGGTCTATCTATCAATACAGGATGCAATCAGTTATTTATCAGTGCAAGGGAACATCAAAGAAGACTCAACAACATGTTTTGTATCAAAAGCAAAACCAGCCAGTCCAACTCTGAAACCTTACACAACCCATCATCCACTTATCAGTGAGAAACATATTGATCATAAAGCTTAAAAAAAATTCACTTATTCCCTTAAAGGGGGTATGTTTACATCTCTGTTACTGACACAGGAAAAACAGTAAGAGGACATTTAGACTGAAAGTGTGTTAAAACAACGCTGAGCTGTTTTGTGGGGGCATGTTGCTTCAGGTACCAGTGAAACAATGTTATCTAAGTCCAGTCTGAGTAACGGAGCCATGAGTTTGAAAGGTTATCAGATGCCAAAAACTTTGCACAGCGGTTTATGAGTCGGGATTTCATAACTGACAATTATTGTATTTTTTTGTTGCAGCGATTGTGAGTTAACAGTGAAAACACCGTTACACATTACAAAGTGATATACACTTGTTTCATAAAGCAGTGTCTTGCTGGATGTTTATAAATGTATTGTCAATTTCAGTTGTTTTGCTGGACAACTCTGCAGTTTTATGTCAGACCTCTGAGAACAGATGCTGCCCAGCAGACCAACATCACACAGGGTTAATGTTGGTCTGAAGATCTGAGACATCTTTCTACTTGGCACATTCTGAAAAGGTCCTAACTTGATTGAAAATTATTACTTTTCCCCACATTATGTGACTTGTGTATGTTTTAAACTCACTGGATTAGAGGAAAATAAAAGTAATTGGTGGATGATTATGCTACATTTGGCTGCATTTTTATGATAACCAAGCAGCTGAACACCAAACCTTTTGCTTGTGGCCTAATTCAAGACTTGTGCTTTGTCAACATTTTAAAACATATTATGCTTTTCAGCTTCTTCCCTCTCCTTTATTGAGTTATCTTCTTTCTTTATATATTTTTGTGCATGTAATACGTTTGCAAAGTGAAAAAGCCCAAAGTCAACCCCAAAGTGAGTTCTCATCTTCCACAGAAAACACTGCTCTGAACTGCCTGAAAACAGCTTGTTTGTAGTCCAGCCATTTCCCTTTCATCCCTGTGACGACACACCCTCAAAAACACCGTTGGAGAAACACTGAGCTGCAGCACATACGGAAAGTATTCAGACCCCTTTAAATTTTTCACTCTTTGTTTCATTGCAGCCATTTTCCAAAAATCAAAAAAGTTCATTTTATTTCTCAGTAATGTACACTCAGCACCCCATCTTGACAGAAAAAAACAGAAATGTAGAAATTTTTGCAAATTTATTAAAAAAGAAAAACTGAAATATCACATGGTCATAAGTATTCAGACCCTTTGCCGTGACACTCATATTTAACTCAGGTGCTGTCTATTTCTTCTGATCATCCTTGAGATGGTTCTACACCTTCATTTGAGTCCAGCTGTGTTTGATTATACTGATTGGACTTGATTAGGAAAGCCACACACCTGTCTATATAAGACCTTACAGCTCACAGTGCATGTCAGAGCAAATGAGAATCATGACGTCAAAGGAACTGCCTGAAGAGCTCAGAGACAGAATTGTGGCAAGGCACAGATCTGGCCAAGGTTACAAAAAAATTTCTGCTGCACTTAAGGTTCCTAAGAGCACAGTGGCCTCCATAATCCTCAAATGGAAGACGTTTGGGAGGACCAGAACCCTTCCTAGAGCTGGCCGTCCGGCCAAACTGAGCTATCGGGGGAGAAGAGCCTCGGTGAGAGAGGTCTCCAAGATGGTGATAAATAAGATCCTCTGGTCTGATGAGACCAAGATAGAACTTTTTGGCCTTAATTCTAAGCGGTATGTGTGGAGAAAACCAGGCACTGCTCATCACCTGTCCAATACAGTCTCAACAGTGAAGCATGGTGGTGGCAGCATCATGCTGTGGGGGTGTTTTTCAGCTGCAGGGACAGGACGACTGGTTGCAATCGAGGGAAAGATGAATGCGGCCAAGTACAGGGATATCCTGGACGAAAACCTTTTCCAGAGTGCTCTGGACCTCAGACTGGGCCGAAGGTTTACCTTCCAACAAGACAATGACCCTAAGCACACCGCTAAAATAACGAAGGAGTGGCTTCACAACAACTCCGTGGCTGTTCTTGAATGGCCCAGCCAGAGCCCTGACTTAAACCCAATTGAGCGTCTCTGGAGAGACCTGAAAATGGCTGTCCACCAACGTTTACCATCCAACCTGACAGAACTGGAGAGGATCTACAAGGAGGAATGGCAGAGGATACCCAAATCCAGATGTGAAAAACTTGTTGCATCTTTCCCAAAACGACTCATGGCTGTATTAGATCAAAAGGGTGCTTCTACTAAATACTGAGAAAAGGGTCTGAATACTTATGACCATGTGATATTTCAGTTTTTCTTTTTTAATAAATTTGCAAAAATTTCCACATTTCTGTTTTTTTCTGTCAAGATGGGGTGCTGAGTGTACATTACTGAGAAATAAAATGAACTTTTTTGATTTTTGGAAAATGGCTGCAATGAAACAAAGAGTGAAAAATTTAAAGGGGTCTGAATACTTTCCGTACCCACTGTACTGTATGCAGTATGTAGTATCAAACTGTTGTATCAAACTGTATCAAATTGATTTATTTTGCAGTATGCTAGGGAAAGGCTTAGCCAGTTTCTGGTTTTCAAAATCAAAACAATAGGAGGAATATAAATGTACTTACCACTTTTTTTCTTTTGTCTTACATAAAGAGAACAAGGCTGCAGCCAATCTGCAGCAGATGTTTGCTTTGGTATATTGGTGCATAAATAAGAATTATATGAAATAAAAGCAAATAAAAAGTAAGTAGCCTACTGTAATCACAACTGTAACATTACACTAACAATGTAATGCATATTTAGAAAAATGATAATAAAGCAACAAGGGTCCCCTTTCAAACTACTTCTGTAGTTCTGTTGAGAAGACCGATTGTTGTTACAGTTCTAGCGCGTTGTATTATGGAAACAGTACGTGAGGTAGACTGGTCCTATGCATACTGGAGATTTTTCCCAAATTAGTACGCCATCTGGTTATTTTTGGCATTCGCCAGATTTTGCTTGTGTTTGCATACTGCATACTACATACTACATTTAGTATAGTAGGTGGTTTTGAATACAGCCTGTGTTTACTGGCTTCTCACGACCCGCCCTTCTCTACTTCTGATTCGCTAGTAGTCCTTAACTAGGAACAGTGCATATGCAACATCCAACAAAGATCATGTAGAGGCAAGATGTATCACTCCCTAGCTAAAACGAAACTGCAGCAATTTGCAGTGTGACAAAAATATGGTGTTTTTTGAAAATAAATCTATGTAAATCTGTTCCGGTACAACCCCTAAATAAGATTCTGAACCTGAAAATGAGCATAATTTGACCTCTTTAATATAAACAGTACTGACATTATACTCATCAGTTTATTATTTATATCAACTCATCATTTACAGACTGTGGCATAACGTTCTGCTCACTCAAAAAGTGGGTGAATTTTGGTTACACAGGCAGTTCTTCAATCAGATTTGCCTGGTTTAAAAGTTCATTTTAGCACTCATCTATCCTGTCTTGTAGCAATACATTGAAAACCTTCAACCCTGACAAATGCTGCCCTGGGCCCTGTGCTCTGACCTCCCAACGAGGTCAAGCAAGAAGTGAACTTCTATACTTAGATCAATAACCAATCAATAATCATAATATCACCTTTAAATTCCAAGGTTGAAATCTGCAAAATGCTACATATCACAAACCTTGCCTTGCTACTTTTACATTGTGTAGCCTTCATATTATGCAATGACATGGCACAGAGTGTATTACCAGCACCCACAAGCCTTGTATGATAATGTACGCTTTGCTTTACATATCTGAGAGAGTATTTTTGATAGACTGATTGGTTAGAAATAATAAAAGTCGAGAAAATAAATTTTAATTGGGCTGATTTGGACTAAGTGACATTTTGAAAAAATCTGTTTTGTTATCAGACAACAGGTCATTTGGTATTTAAATTATTTCCAGCATTACTTAAGTACTTGTCCAGCAATCAAAATAAGCACAAATGCTTTCTGAGTAGAATTTTTCAAGAGGTAAATACTGAATTGTGAGAAAATGTGTGTCTCTTCTAATCCATTAAAAAGGGACTTATGTTTGCTTGACAAATGAGAGTCATTGTCTTTGAATGATCACTTACACCACTTGACCCGAGACTGATTTAGCACACGGTTCCCTTCAAAGGGCTTAACAATGCAAGAGTTGACAGCAAAAGCAGATTGAACAGTCTCTACCTGCATTGACTTCCAGCAACCTCCTCTTCTTCTGCTGTCTCTCCTGCTTTTCACGCTCAGCCTTCTCCTTTGCCGCCCGTGCTCTCCTCTGTTTCTCCTCTGACTCCCTGCGCCTCAGGTTCTCCTTCAGTGCTAGCTGTGAGGGGGGAGGGGATGGGGAGAAAGCAAGAGAAAGACAGAAAGCAAGAAAGAGAAGATAAAACAAGACATATTGTTAGGTGGGGTTAATTACAATAGTGTAGAGTCTGTCAAAGGCAGCTGTCGAACCCCACAGACATCTTTATCACGCACCATTTAAGTCAGATTAAGCTTCTGAGGTGCACTGCCACCCTGGTCTTGCCAGACACAGAACAACTTGACACCAGGGACTTCAGACACTTGAAATCCATGAGAGTGGGTGACCTAAAGACTGTTAGCCCTGTCTTTTTATAAACATTATTTTCTGTTCTAATTTTGACTCTTCCTTCACATTCAAAAATATATATATTCATTCCTATTTTTAGAGATCATTAAGGCTCTGTTTCAATATTTTGCTTGTTCTCTTTACAGTCTATTTCAGAGCCTAAAAAGATCCCCGGTGATATCACCTTACAAGAGAAAAGGAGTGGGAAAACGTTCCCATGTGTTTAAAAAGACAAGATAGTAACACAGTATAAATTATTTAGAGCGTGGAAATGCAAAATAATCCAAGTATTGCCATTGCCAGAAGCCACTGTGTGCGTGTGCGTGTGTGTTTGTGTCTATTTATACAGTATGTGTTGGGAGGGGTCAGTAAGACAGCTTCAGCATCATCGGGTTGCTACTGTGTGAGCTTTTCCAGTCAGTTAACAGCAGGTTAACTAACAGCAATACAATTTAACTGTATGAGGCTGTACAGTAGGTGCTGAGCTGAACACAGCTGAAAGGTGCTGATGTGTGGGCGGATGTCTACCACACTACCTGCGGATCAACTGTAAATAAAAATCCACTTTTAAAACCACTTGGATTTGACGGAATCTGACTCGAAAAAGCCAAAGTCAACAGCTAGAAATGTGTTTATAGTTACACAAGTACAGCTTTCGATTGATTGCAATGACTGTCTTTGCATAGAGCAAATTTTAAATCATATTGAATTATGCTGATGGTTTTCTCTATATCACTTCATTATTCTGACTGGAATGACTAAAATTTGAGAAAAAATATTCTAGTATTACAATACAGTATTTAATAATATATCATTTAAAGAATTCCATCTCTCTTTTTAGGGGATAATGTAGTTTGACTCAAGTAGTATTTCATGAAGGAATAGGAACTTTTACTGTCTTCTTTTCAGGAAAGGCTGAGGGTCAAATCGAATCAAAGCGTTATAATAAAATGTGGGAAAGAGTATTACAACCATAAGCAACAAGTTCCTGCTCCTGTCTGCGCCATAGTGCCTTCTCCTAATTTATTACATTCTTTTGCATTCATTGATTCACTGCAAGCAAGTAGTTTGTTGCTATCAGGTCCTGGGACAGGAATGTCTTTTAATATTATTGACATTTGCACAAGCCAATGCAACCAACAACTAAACTTGTCAAAAATGTCATTAATTCTATTCTTCCGGTCTATGAAGACTTATTTAATAGGCATGCTATCTATTGTACATCATATCAACCATTGTGGATACAGGCTCTATAATCCCTGTGCTAAAGGGTCATTAAACTTGTATACTGATGCCGACCGCTCAATAATGCCACAGCCAAGTGACAGACTCCATATGATTTAACAGAGCGCTAGCATGATTGCCATCCTGATCAATAGCCAGTCACTTAAAGCAAGGGAGTCTGGGCTTTTATCAAACACCCAACTCCTCCTCCTCTTCTCTTGGTTTATTCACACAGCCCGGCTTGACAGGCAGGTCAGTGGAAGAATAGTAATGCCAAACCGACATGAATGGATGCACACAAACACACACACTACGAGAACTGTGTAACATACAAAAATTCACAGTGGAACAATAAAGAGGGGCAGTCACTTATCGAGGACCACTGACAGCCTCTTATTAAGCCTGCATTCAAGTGACTATTGTTGGAAATTATATAGTCAACTTGAATTCAAAACAAATCAGCGTAGTCGATTCAACATGAACAAGCCACTTCAAACATAGAGAATCTGCAACTCAAATAAAGACTAATAGTAGAGGTGTAACAGTACACAATTTTCAGTTTGATGCAGCTCCACAACTATTAGCGTATGCCTGAATCCTGTCTTCTCTATGGTCGAGTACGGCTGCATATGAGCAGTCAAAAACACTCCCGTGGCATATCCTATCCAGTAGATGCTCTACGTTCACACACTGACCTTGATCTTCCACTGGATGACACTTTTTTTCTAATTTCTAAACAGGACACAAGGACACTGTGGTTTTTTGGCAACTTAGCAGACATATACTTCAAACAACAATTTATCTAATCTCACTCACATAAAAAGACGATAGCAGCTAACAACACAGATGTGTACCACTCAGCAGGTTTAGAGAAATTCAGAAAAGGAGAGTGCTGAAGACAGAGAAGAAGGGGAAGATGAATACCAAATGACTGCGCCACACTAAAGCTATTCAGAGATCTATTTTTAAACTATTCTTAAATGAAACCAACTCCTCCACCAAATTAACTTTGATTTGATGGAATGAAACTGTCGGTTGCTCGTGGCAACCACTGATTCACAAATGACTATACTCTAAATGGGCATCCAATCTGGTAAATTACAGGCAGAGAGAATGAGGAACAAGAAAATGGAAGGACAAGAGGACTGACACATAATACATTTTCAATAAAGAACAATTAAGTGACCGCAGGTTACAAGTAGACAGATGTGGAGGCTGCCTAATAGTCAAAACTCAGACACTCCTTCCCCTCTTCACTTTCAGGCAGCTCCCTCATTAAAAAGTCATTCTCTGTAAACAAAGACAAGGTAAAGTAACATGGTGCCCTATAAATTTATGATACAAATGACAACTGTAATATGAGATTAAAAAAACAAGCTAATAATAATAAAGATAGTCTAAGTTCCATTCAAGGTTTTAGGTAATTTCATTAAACAGGAGTTTGCAGCTTTGTGTAGCTATAGCTTGGCACACAACTCTGCATTCTTACAAGGACACTAAAGTCAGCATACTGATGTTTAGCAGGTTTATGTTTACCATCTTTACAAATTGATCGAAGGTCAAGAGATCAATGTGATTAATTAAATCTGAGAGGACCATGAATGGCTGTACCAAAAGAACAATCCACGCAACAGGCCCAAAGTCAGAGGATCACAAAAGTCATAAGAATCATTGTCCAGGAACTATACCACAACCCCATGCCAACCTCATGGTGGTTCTACAGGAAAAGTCAGGGCACCGGGGCAGCAGAGTCAGTAGGATTCATCCTCTTGGGACAGTGAATGTCTGAGCAAAATCTGATGGCAACCCATCCAAAGGTTTTGGAGTTATTTCAGTCTAGACCAGAATGGTGGACTGACCGACCATCCAACAGGGCAGCATTAGTTCTAGTCCAGCACTGCCGAAAGTGCACCTAAGCAAGGCCCTGAAACCCTAACTGCTCCCCAGGCACTGCACAACGGCTGCCCACCGCACCTAATTAGGATGGGTTAAATGCAGAGAACAAATTACGTATGCGTTGCACTGTGTATAAATTGTATGTGGCTAATAAAAAGTTGATTATTATTATCTTATTATCATTATCATAGCCATGACGCTAAAGGAAAATGAATGGCAGATGGTTTCAATAATACGGCTATGCAGATCCACAGAGGAAACCTGTAGAGGCAAAAAGACACCTTATTTAAAACTGGACCCTTTACTGCTGCCAGCAAGCCGGGAAAACAATGATTAGTCAATAACGGGTCAATACAACAAGTGGGCCTGTTTAAGAGAGGATCACTCTTAAACTTCACAAAGAGAATAGAGCAGGTAAAGAACACTATATCAAAGCATCCTGGCTAAAACAACAATTGATATGATCACAGCCAGCTCAACAAGGCCACACGGTCTTCTTAAATCACAGAACCAATCAGCAACATAAGAATACTAACAAAAAAAAGAGTCAGTGTGGACATTAACTGAGGACGGTAACATAAAAAAGTTCATTTAAAGCGCATGCATGGCAGTTTTTTTTTGCTTTTAAATCTGAATTCATCACTGAATGCAAGAACTATCTAAATACTGAAAAATTAGGAGAACAAATAGAACACTGATTTAGAGAGACAGTGAAGAAGGATCTGAAGCTACAAAAAAAAGATGAAGAGTCATGTGATTTTTGCCTTCTGACATAGCATTGGTTTTTACTGTAATGTTGAGCTGAAGGAGTGAAAGAGGTAAAGAGAGAAAGAGTGAGAAAGAGCCAGCTCTCTGTGGAAATTGCCCTCCGCTCTCCTTCATCACTGCAGGTCTGCTTCCCCCTCCTCCTCTCCTGGATGTCCGCCATTAGACACGCTCAATTGGATTCCTGTCAGATGTGCGGCCTCGCCCTGGGTCTCCTTCCTACGGGTGACTGAGCATGCTGTATGCGTGTGTGTGTGCGCGCTTTTGTGTGTCAAAACGCCAAGCAGCTTTCCCTATAAAAAACTGCCAACACAAAATGACATACGCACACAAACATGCGCGCACAAACACACATTTTGCGAGCAACATACACACAGTTCAAGGCTTGCTTCGCTCCAGGCAGTGGTCATCACGCACCTATTAGCATGGGCCTTGGCACAGCAGGGTAAATGCTGACACAGATTTGACCGGGAGGTTACGGTGCTGAGATTTACTGTATGCCTACGTTCATTGACCTAGCCTTGGCTTCTTGGCATGTCTGTGTGGTGTGACCATTTGAACGAATTGCTGAAGGTGTAAGCTGCTCACACCTTGACCTATCACAGGGGAATAAATAGCTACCTAGGGAGTTTTAACCATTTAATGCTAGTCTTTATAACACTTGGCTTGTTCACCTTTTACTGGCAGAGTCATTAACTGTTATGTTTGGTCAGAACATAAATGCTACTGCAAAACTCCTGAGCCATGGAGCTAAAATGAAAGGGATTATAACTGCAATATGAAACACTATCACGCCAGTAGCACATGTTAAATATTATAATCAGTTATTATTGATTGGCATTAAATTAATGCATGGAACATATTGAGGTTTGTCTTATTCGCTCTGGGTCTGATTCATATCTGAACACAGCCGGTCGTGAACTGGCTTGTGGATATTAAAGTGAGGCAAAGAATCACAGCACAGAGAAGTCCTGGGATCAATAGCATAAGTGAAAAAACAAAACAAAGGAACAGAACCAAACCAAAACCAAAGCATCTGGGAACCTTTTTTTGTTTGTTGCTGTTGTTGTTTTGTTTTTTACTGTGTGCTTGTTTGAGCCTATAAATTGTGTTTAGTTACTGAATTTACTTCAGTCTCGGGTTGGACGCCACATACAGCAGCCTGCATATTGGGGTATGTGGCAACTAAGTGCTAGGATGTGAATTTGTTGCAGTTGGCTTAAGCATAGGCCCCAAATCAGACAAGGAACTCTTCAAGATAGCAACACACTCTATATACTGTAGGATTATTGGATTACCAGTTACCAGATTACCTACCAGTAACACGTCTGGATAGCTTGTGAAATACAGATCCTCCAAGGAGTGCCAATAGTTAGTTTAGTGTTTGAGCATCTATAAGGTTTATAAAAAAAATGGTTACAGCATGTTTCCATAATGTTATCCATATTGCACAATTTAATGAAGACATAACAGTCAAAATACTCAATTGTAGAACCATTAAAAACTGTTCAAACGTCTCTTGTCAAATTTTGTGTAGAGGGCACATTATTTGTGTACAAACACAGTCTCTCATTACATGATTTCTGACCAGGAAGAAATCACCTAAAATATTACTCTTCGTCGTTCGATTGGAAAAAACCTTTGCATTGTGAGAGGTCTTGTCAAAAAAAACAAAAAAACAACAACAATTACTTCTTCTTCATTGCTTCTTTTTCATCTATTCTCCTATCACAATCCTAAGCAACATACATTTTAAAAAAGGGAACCAAAACACCACCACTGCCACTCCCCCTGTCCCTGAAAAACAGCCAGATGCACAGACAAAGCTTTGGAGTATAAGAAAATCTAAAGCTAATGACTATGCAGAGAAAAAGGCAAAGAAGCATGAAATCCATTTGTGTGCGTGTGAGGTAAATGTTAAGTTGGGGGCAGGGCAGGAACTTTAGTAGGCTAATTAGCTACTATTATCTATCGCGCCCAGTGGACTGTGCCACTAATCCTGCTGATTAAACACAGTGGGGTCTCCACAGCTCCACAGCTCACAGTAGCACCAGACTGATAAGGCCACGGAGCTCAGCAATGACATAAATGGCTCGGTCAGACTGGACTACATAGGACTGGCACTGTTCTGCTTTGCATTATACCACAGGACACCAATGTGATTGCCACAAAAAAATATGTTGATGTTCTGTCTTGATACAGCCAATGAATACAAACAAGTCAAAGTTTAATACCGTTTCCAAACATCCACTTGAGATTTCCTGAAGCTTTTCTCAAAAACACAACGCTCAAGCTAACATTTCCCTTTTCTTGTGCTTGTTGGTATTCAGGGGTGTTTACAACGATCAGTTATCACTCCAAAGTGAGGTCTAATAATGCCAGACAACTAAATTCAACTTATGAATGGTTCTTGATGCTGTTAAAGGTTTTCTTTCATCACTAATGTTTATAAATGCAGAAGTAGTAAAGCAGGCCTATATTTCCAACTATTAGTTTATAAAAGACGCAACATGTAAATCCACCCATAACTCAAAACAATTTATTATTAGGCACTTCAAGATCTCTTCATTTAACAGGTGTAGATGCTTAATGTACAAGTATTACAAGTATACTGCTGATTTTGCAGGTTTTCCTACTTACAAAGCATGTAGAGGTCTGTATGATTTTTAAATAATGGAGAACAGGAGGGCTTCTTAAAGAATTAACAGGTCTGTGAGAGCCGGAATTCTTACAGGTTGGTAGGTGATCAAATACTTATGTCATGCAATAAAATGCAAATTAATTATTTAAAAATCATACAATGTGATTTTCTGGATTTTAGTTTTAGATTCCATTCATACAGTATAATTCCATAATACAGTACAGAATACTCACAGTGAACATAGAACGGAAGTTGCTGAGATCAGTGAACAGCTCCTCCACCGAGGTCTTCTTGGGATCGACGGCAAAGTACTCCAGCACGTTCTGATACAGGGTCTCCATATTGCTGTGCATTGTCACCAGCTTGTCATACTGCTCCCGTGCAACCTTACTGAAGCTGTGAACATTGTGGTCAAGGTCAACAATTCAACCATAACACAGTAAGTGTTAATTTAATATTGCTGCAAGTTTACTACTCCCCCTTTTTCTGACAGTAGTACAGGAAAGTGAGAACAAAAACAGAAATAATTCACGTTTGTTGCCGTAAGGGTCTGAAGCTGGAAAACAGACTCAGTGGTAAGCTGTGATGTTGGCATTAGGAGCTCTGTTACTGTCAGTCGGTTACTACTACAGTGTGTTCACTGTTATGGCCCCCTGCAGCCTACAGCATCTGTGACTCATGTCTGGCTGCTGGCAAAGTGTGTTGGTTTATTTGACATGCACAATATTAACTGTAAATTTAAACACAAATCAAGGAAAATATAAATAAATAATATCTTCTACTTTGAAAACGCTGAGCCCAAAATCCACAGCACTGCTACCTTGGGCGTTGCCACTGTAATTTTGAAGCCCATCCAATCAGGTTATAATTTACTGAAAAGCTTACAAATTTTGGCTCACATTTCACAGACAATGTAAACACAGCAGATGATGGCTTATTTGCATTTAACTGTGCCAACTGTGTTTAACTAAATTAGTCTGCTTATCATTTTTAGGCTAGCTACCTAAAATGTGCCCTGTTGGTACATTAATGTGCATGGATGAGGACAAACAGATAATGGTTGTGTCAACATAAGCTACAGAGGTCTCAGTGTCAGAGCTAAGTGAGAAGGAAAGCAAGAGCAGTAGCACATATCCTACCTGCTACCGAGGCAAGTCACCACACTCACAATAATCACTCAATGTAGAAATCTAGCAAGCAAGAATTTGTTTGTTTCGAAAATCAATTCATATAGTAGGATGCACAAGAAAATAAAATATAGGTTAGAATCAGTTTGAAGCAATCTGCTTCGAGTCAAGAATTAATGAGAAAAAAGCAACTGATGGGTCCCTAAACAGCAGTCCTGTGAATGATTTCGACATCCTTATATCATGGCTGATAAGAAGCAACAGTGTCTGAGTGTCTGCGTGTCTGCGTGCGTGCGTGGTATCACGATTATGTGGGCAGCCTCTCTGGCACCCATTGTGTCCCTTCGTTATAGCTCAATTGACGGACCTATTTGACGTCTGGCCTCAGTTGAATCTGGGGACAGGGCTACCTACTCACAGCTGGGTAAATGCTGTTCAATAGGCACTGCTCCCAGATTGACTTGCCAGTAATATCTTTCCAAGCCAGGAGCTGGGGGGGAGAGGCATGAGGAAAGCATGAGCAGGTGATAGAAAGCAAAAGAGAAAGAGAAAAGAAGAAACAGCTGAGAGCCATGGTTGATTAGTATCACGGGGTGAAAAAAATCTCTCCTCCCCGGACTTCTTCCCAATTTTCAGAGAAAGCAGTGGCTCACTGCAGCTCATTCTCAAGAATTCATGTTCACTCTTGCTTTCTTACCGGTCCTTTACCCCCCCAACCCCATCCCATCATATTTCTTTCTCACATTCTTAATTTGCTCATTCTATCTCTGCTTCTCTCCTGTTCTAATCTGCCACCTTGTCTGGCGCAACGCTAGACCAATAACACAGTAAACTGCATACTCAAGCATGAAGTGAAAATGGAATTTTGAATGTCACCAACGTGACACTGCAGGTTTCTGTTTACGAGGAACTGGGTTCAGAATGAGAGTAGAAACAATGAAACATTTCACTTTGTTTTTGTTTCTTGTAATTTAGTTTTTTGGTGCAACAGAATCATTTAAATGAAACTGTAATATTAATGTATGATACTTAATAATTCAATGATACTTACTACTTAAGTTCGACATCATGATGCTAAGAGCTTGCGTTGCTTACGTGACCATTACTTAGGTTAACAATCAAAGCTGTAGTGGTTTTGCTGTCTTAGCCAACAAAAGCTGCTTACAGAGTCCCAAAAGTCCCAAAACATTGAGCACAGTGTGGAGTGTGAGGTTCACATATGAATGGCCTTGGGATGAATGTTGAACATTTTGATAAAATATTTGTTGGTGACACAGTATATGTCAGCTAACTTTTGGTTACGAGTGAAAATTACAGCCTCGATACTCAGTGTTTAACTTGTATAACTTTACCTACATTACATTTTATTAGAGGCCTACAGTGAGCTCAGAGTTTTTTAATCAGAGTTGCAAAGAGAAGACATTCTGTGCAAGGTACCTGGAACTGGAAAGCAAAGCAACGAAAGACAGAGCTGTCAAATCCATCCTCAGCGAACCTTTCTGTGTTGTACTCAAGTTCTCTGTGAACTACTACAGCACAAGCCATCAGTGCCCCAGCCCCAAGGCTATTGATCAAAACTACATGAAGAGGGCTAGGTCCAGGGTGTATTATTGAGCACACACTTACACACCTGTTCTGAGACATGCCTGTCAACCTGAACCACTAGAACTACCTCAGAGGACAGTGAATAATTAACACTGCTGCCAAGCAGATATGGACAGCTGTCAGCAGTGGACCTGGATATCCAAAGAGGGGCAGTAAACCAGTAAAGACAATTTGTGTATTTATGCGTGTGTAAATTAGTGCTTTTGTTAAATTATCTTGAACTGAGCAAGTGAATACGTTTAATTCAATGGCTTGTCTTCTGTTTCCAGGAACACACAACAATGACTGATGCTGTGAGAGGGAAAGAGGGTGACAGAAAGATGAAGGAGGCTTTGTCCCAATCCTCTCTCTCTAGCCCTCGGTGTGAAGAACCCTTCAAAAGGAGAGCTGACAGGGTTACTGGTACAAAAACTTGACTATGGAATGGGATGCCACTCACGACTTGTACACAGAGGAAAGAAAAGCATGTGTATATAAAGGACCAGGCTTTAATATATGCTTTAACAGCATATTAAGTAATGAATCATTTCCATTTAGAGGGACAGGGGTATATAGTCACTTTTACAAAGCTATGTTTTCAATACAGCATTTCTTATGAAAATCAGAGAGGGGCTGAAGTCCAGGCTGAAAGTGATGGGAACTAATGGAACACAGCATTAGTATTTACATATGTAAAAGGTAAAGCAAATGTATTTAATTGAGTGTTTAATAATCCAGTGACTTGAGAGTTTCTTCCCTTTCCCACAACTTCAGTTACATATTACGCTAATCCAGTTCCAGTAATATTCTTCTTAACTTTTGTTCTGTTTAATTAATTACAGGAAACTCACTGAACAATACCCCGGACTGGTGAGTGAATGCATGCGTGTGTAAAGGATATAGCCATTTTAGTGAAGAACATGTCGTTGGGGTCATCGGGGGAAGAGAAAGTCTCCAGGTCTCTCTCCAGCTGCAGCAGCTGCCTCTCCATCTGCCTGAGGCTCTTTTCCAGATTCTCTGCAGACACTGACACACACCCACATATATCAAGACACAAACACACATCCACATTTGCAAAAGCACACGCAAACACACCCACGTGCCAAGGAAATGTGAAGAAAGAAGCAGAGAGGACAACTCAATTACAGGTACAATCAAATACATTATTATTTTGAGACTGAAGGAATCTGAGAAAAACAACACAAAACAGATAATAACAGGAAATTAGAGAGAAGCCTGCTCAGTTGCAAAGCATGCTCATTAAGGGTTCACGCTGCGGCAGAAACAGCATAGAAATAAACAATGAATGAGGAAAATAAACATCATGTGAAGGTTCATTCAATACATAGCTTTTAATTCTGTTTGCCTCGTATACGTTTGTGTGCCGTAAACCATTAAATGAATATAAGAATACAATGCCCTTATTGAGTACACACAATGTAGTGAAAGCAAATGCCTGCTATGTTTGCTCATATATTTAAACTGTATACGTGGCTTTTCTGTGACACAGACAGAGCAACACATTCAAAACTGCAGTCTTAAAGTATGAAGGTGGCAGCTGAAGTAGGAATCTTTCCACGCCCCTTTATCCTTTGTCTTTAGTCTCATCAACAGGTGCATGGATCATGCAGGTGCGGGAGCAGGGGAACACTGAGGCTAACTTTCTGTTAAGTTGGTCACGGCTGACACTTTAAGCTAGTCAGTGAATATAGCATATGGCTTAAATTACCCTGATTAGACCCTGCTTGACAAAAAGGCATAAGCTGCTTATTTTTAAGTAGTTTCAGATGTCCCTTGATCCTAATACATGCTTTACGGGAAGGGAAAAATGAGAGGGAGAACTTCAATGTGGCTAAGCTTCTCACTGAATTTATAGCATAAACCCCATTTACTGATGGGAACATACTGTCTTGGACATACCGTCATGGACGCACAACACTTGTTCAGTCAGACATCTTAACTAAAAAAGTCTGCAGTAGCTGAAGTTGTGCAATTTCTCTTTAAGTTTAATGGTGTTTGAGTGTAGTCTTTTCACTGCAAGGTAAATGTGAGCATGTGAAGGTTCGTACAAAAAAAATACACATTCATCCGTTTACCTAGTTGAGAGGGAAAGTCAGGTGGCATTTTGCTGTCACTCAGGCCAAACACACTGCTGTAACAAAGTGACATCTTGTGAAAAAATGAAATTATATAACATGCACTACAGTACATCTACTGCATCTGTGCTAGAGTTATAAATGTTCTTGGCCAATTTAGATTTTTTAAAAGCCTGACGTGCCTATTCCGATTTTCTTTTGTTCTAAGAACTATAACTGACAGCACAACACGGACATTTTTGTTGCTTTTCTTTAATAGAACCAATATGTGAATATGTGAGACTGATCGGCCCTGGTATCCGGTCATTGCCGATCAAGCTTAAAACCGGCCAATTCCGGTCACCAACCGATTTATCAGTGCATCTCCAGTCTCTACCTGACAAATGATTATCACATCAGTTCCTTCTACTGATTGAATGTTTTACTTTGTCCCCCAAATCCTGTCTTTACCTTGTTAGCCATTTCTCCATTCCCCCTTCTTTTTTTCAGCTCTCCTTCCCTGTCTCTCATGGTAAGCACTAACACTAATAGTTAACAGCCAGGCGAAGGCACTGAAAATGCCACAGCACACCATTCCTTTAAAAATCTTGTCACAGAGTACATTGTGCCCAATGATGTCTCAATCAGAGCGGTATTCACAGAGCAACTGCCCTGCACTGACTGGCATTGATTTTTTTTGGGTAGGAAATCACCACGCCAATCTGGACAGTAAAAAGAAAAAGAAAAAAAGAAACAGAAAGCAGAGTTAACATTTTCATGCAGAAGAACTGTGGAAAAAAAAAATTATTTTTTTCTAATTTTATTTCAGGAACAATGAAAGCAATTAGACACATCAATAGCATATTCTTAGGCAATGCAGCAGTGCACAACTATTTTTTTTTAACACATCCTGACAGAATCATATCAAATGTGTGGGAAATGAAAGGCTTATGGTGAAGTCATTATAGACGTAGAATAACATAACAATCATACAATCTTAAAACACCTGAGTCAAACACTGTGCTTCACTAACTTACTTGGAAATGAGTATTTCCACTGTGTTTTTACCCTTTAAAGTCTCATATCTTTTACCTGTGACAATGAGTGTATTAATTGGCATGAAAGATTATTATTAAAGATTGCTACTATTGTGTTAACCAGTTCATCTGTAAGTTGTAAAATGGACAATTTAGTGTCTTAAATGGATTTAACAAAAAATACTAAATTATGAGTTGCTGACTCAAATACCAAAAATTGGATCAGGAAAGTCAGGAAATTGCTTAGTTTTCACAGAAGTTAACAAAGTTAATCTACGGAGATATTAGAATGAATGATGTCTTAGACTTAGATTTAGATATGCAAATTGACTGTGTTCATGACAAGGGTGCAGAGGGACTGTAATCTTTTTAAAGAGTCAAGCCTCTCTCTTTCTTGCCTCTCAGGTGCTTTTATTGTGCTATAGGTGAATGTTATAAATTAATTAAGTGTGTTCTCGTGTGACTATGTGTTAACTACTCTATGCTGTCATTATGCTCAGGTATTCTTGTAAAAGAAATAATGTATCTCAGAAGATGTCCTGGTTAAAATAAGGTTATAAATAAAAAGTCTTGGGTGCGGCCAATAATAATAATACACTGCAGCCATGCATTAGGGTGACGTGGACTTTGAGACGGCAAAAACTGACTAATTCTTTTTTTCAGTGACATAATATACAATATTTAAGGATAAGGAGGCTGAAACTAGATGCAAGACTGGTGGGTGCTGTGCTAAACTCACAGTCACACATCAGCAGCACTCTAAACACATTAAAATACTGTGGCCTCAGTTAACCATTGTAGTAACATGTTGGCTGGAGTATTGAGAGATATTTTTGTGTTTTTTAGTGTCCCTACTTATCAACTAGCAAAAATGACAGGCAAGCATCAGAAGCTTCTATGCAGAAATGCTTTGGATTCTATCAACATGTATAAGAGTATAAATCTTTAAAATACTAAATAATCAATGATTTCTATATATTTGCAATATGATGCCCAATATGATTAGAATGATAGATGATAGAAAAATAATTTAGTAAACAATTGCACAACAAAAGGAAGGCAAGACAGAGCACAAAACAAGACAGACGTCTTCTGTTTTTTCCCCAGTCGAAGCTGCAAGCTTTTGGCGAAGAGGCGTATGCCCAAGAGGAGACAAGCAGTTGAGAACATTTTTGAAAATCTGCCGGGAAATTATCAGGAGTGTGAGTATAGCAGCTGATTTGTTTTGTAAACGACACAGAAGTGTGTTTCAAAACTGATGATACTGATAAAAACACACATCTGTCATATAAAACTTAAGAATTGTGAAATAATTGCTCTTTAGTACGGCGACAAGCAGAGTGGGAGATAAAACATAAAAGGGTGTCCATCCATCCTCTTTGTTCTCTCTGGCCACCCTGCTCTTGCATTCTCCTTCTCTGTGTTAAAGCATGAGTGATTTTTATGAGCAGTGGGGCTTGAATGCATCTGTGGTCCAGAGGGGTTGCAGACAGATATAGGATGTTTAAGAAGAATAATAATTGGAATATTTGTAGAGGTCAAATCCCCCATTGACATCCTTATTATTCTGCCAACCTGCTGTGAATGAGACTAAGTGGAGCACACCATGCATACTCACTCACAAACTGCCCCCGCTACACACAGAGCTCCACTATAGATCATACTTTGATGTATGGAAATTAAGAGACACAGATCTGCCCTCAGAGGCCAAACCCTCACAGACGAGTGTGACTCGACTGGTGGTGCAAGAGGCTGGAAACCCGAGATTTGTAATGCAAGAAATCCTGTTGCGCACACTCAACATGCTAAGCACCTACTACATAAAAAAAAGAGCATGAAGGTCACCGAATTGCTCTGCTTATTCTATCTACATTCAACCGGAGGCTGATCACTCACACTACCAAAACTACAAAAAAAGCTTGATCCGCATATTAGAGAACCATCTCAATAGAGTTGAATCTTCACATTACTCCTTAATGACTCCTCAGGGCCGCGAGCCTTGAAAAGAAACTGAACCAAAACAGCTTTTCCTTCTTTGCTGCAATAATAATAAAATGTATGCAGACATATCTATTTAGTATCACACGTAGCTTTCCAAGTAAGCAGCTTTTCTGCTGCTTACAGGCGATAACTGAAGATTTATAAGCTAAAGTAGCCTGGTCGAGCATATTAATATGTCTCGATGTTTGTGTGATTTTGACATGAAACTCAGCACCAACTAAGACCAACAAACCATCCTAATTGCCCAAACCTGACTGCTGTGATTGTGTGTGTTTGTGTGATGAGGGACAAAAGAAATAGGACAAACAGAGACAGACAGACAGAAAGGTAGACAGATAAATAGATACATGGATAGATACATAGAAAATAACAGAGAATCAGCACACACGGCCGGCTTCTCCATGTCAGGAGAAATAATGATTGTAGTGCTGAAAAGAAGAGGGGCAGAAATAAGATGACAGACACAAAGGAACCCTGAACTAAGCTGCAGTTTTGCTTCCATGAGAGACGGCATTGGCAATGGGGGAAACGAAGACTGTGTAACACACAGTCAAAAGACAGCTGCTTTTGCAACAGAGGCACAAATCATTACTGCTCCCTCTATCCAACCTTGTTTTCATGCTCAAGTAAGCTCTTTGGTTAGCGTCTATGAATGCAGTGCAGCCTTTTAGTGTGTCTTCACGCCTCCCGAATGGCAGTCAGACTTGATGAAAAGGAAACCACTCAAGAGCATGGTTTACAAAGATGAAATGGGATTTGTGTGTCTAAATACTAGATATGGAGAGAGGAGGTACTTAGTGTACGCATCTTATAATGGTGTGAGAACACAGGGAAGGGCAGTAAAGTAGACGCTAGATCTATATATGCAAAGATACAGTCCGCTTGAGGTCCATGAAGTAAGGATGTGGACAAATTGTGAAGAGAGATCCGAGGATAGCGCTTTCTATTGATCTCACCCTTGTACTTGAGAGTTGGCCAAGGGCTTATAGACACGCAGCACAGTTGGGAAAAATGAAAAACTCAACAGGAGCATCATTATCCACCGATTATTAAAGCACCAACAAAGCATGGAGGGGTCCTTTTCAAGAAAGAGTCCAAACAATGAAATCACACATTTCATCCTCACTCTGTTTTCTCCGCCTCACCCTTCATCCTTCACTCCCTCCTGCTGGGAACAGAGCAGTGGCAAAAATCTTCTTTGGAGCGGCAAGAAACATGCTGTGACAATATGACTGCACACGCATACAGTTGCAAATACACACACACACACACACACACACACACACACACACACACACACACACACACACAGTGGACACAGACTGCCACTCACTACGTCCTCCTGAAAGTTGCCTATGGCAATATGAACAAAGAACATGTCTCCTCTGAATTGCCCAGTCTGTCCCTGCTTGCATGTGACCTTTACCACACTCTAGATACACAGGCCAAGCTCAGAGCAGTGTATGGGCATTGGGCACTTGTGTGTATGCGTGTTTGTGTGCATGCCTGTGCATGAAATTATGAAAGGAAACAGTCAATTTGTCTTAAACCAACAAAGGGGGTTAAACTACTGTTCTTTATCTGAGCAACAGACAAGACCTACATAAGTATTCTCTTGAAAAATCTTTAAAAACTCTTGTTTTTCTAGTAAAATATAATATTGTCTTGTGCGATTATGTTAGCATGAAACAGCAGTGCAGATGAGCAGAGTGTAAGATAGATCAAATGCTAAACTGGTAAAATACAATGCATGTTTGCAGATCAACAAGCATCTAATCCCAGAGTTATCCCTATAAAGTTACAAAAGCAGAAAGGTAAGAGTAAAGCTCAAAGTTAAACAGAGGAATACAGATGAAGAATGCTCCAGTTCTGTCTAGGTAAGAACATTGTGGAGGAAGGACATTCTGTTTTTGCATTAAGCACTGCAAACCACATCCTTTAATGCCTGGACCTCTCACTACTGCCCAAATACACCCCAAACAAGCAGATATGACAAACATAATCTAATACATATTCTTTGTCATATGTGTTAATGGAATATAATTCAATATAATATAATGTTTTCAATGGCGTTGACTGAATCGTCTTTTCATTTCATCACCACTGTGTTCAGGTGCAGTGATCTTAAACCCAGTCTCTCTCCTAAGATTACTTTACAGTAGCTCAGGTAAAAGTCTTTGTTTTGTCTGGACACTGATGGATCTCAATAGTTAAACAATTGATTTGAGAAGCTACAATGTAAAAATGTGATAAGGTTTATGATATAAGTAGTTTGTATGGCTCGCCTTACCAATATTTTAGCACTGCCATTGTCCACCATATCACCATTGTTTATGTTCGGCCATAATGTGTAATTCCACCAGCCAACAAGAGTCAAATCATTAAAATTTATAAAATATTTTTCAGCTTTCAGTTCAGTTAATAGCATGCCCTCAGTTGCCTAAATGACACGTTGTACAGAGCACAACATAAAAAGCTTTTCTCATTTAACTCAAAGCTAAAAAGGCTGGCCTTTTTGAGTCCCAGACACAGTTTGTCAGAGAGAGCAGCAAACTAGAGAGGAAAAAAGAAACACAGTGTCTCTTGTTTGAATGCATTTTGTTTGCTCAAAGAATAGTACAGCTATATTGTTACCAATTTAGGATTTGTTAGACCAGTTGGCAAAGCCTTGCTGGTAAACGTCACCAGGGATGTTGATTTGACGGAGAGTATATGAAACTCCCTGTGCACGAGGAGAGCTAATGGGGTTAAGTTGGCAGTAACACCAGCAGGAAACAGAAATAACAGCAATGATCACACTATAATATCACCTTAAAGAGGGAGGTAGACGCAGTGTTAAAATCAATTAGCAACGAAGAAAATTTAAATGAGTGACCATGACATCAACAACAAAACGCCGTCAGTGTGGAGACAAGGGGATACATTTTTTGAACCAGAGTATATAGAAGAGCTTTTGCAGAAGGACACTGAAAGTTGTGTTGTAAGTCCTTAGCAGTAACAGAATATTCTGATCCAAACAGCTGATCTTTGGCAGCGTTATACAGTGCGCAACCAAGTTGCGCTTATGCATAGGAATACGGAAGTCCTACAATTGAGGAAATGACTGTCTGAGGGCAAAGTAAAGGGCTGAAAATATTCTAAATTTTGTGTACACTTGAACTGATATTAATTTTGTCGGTGGGCCTTCTTTCAAGTGGCGGCTGATCCTGTCCACAGCAATACGTGGCTTAGTTTCTGGGCCGGTACAACTCCGCCTTTCCAAACTGGGGGACATTCTGACCGCCATCTACTGAGGGTAATACACGGACTATGCATAAGTAATTCATACAGCCCCACTTCAAAAAACCCTAACTATCCATTAAAGAGTCACTATAAATGACATGCAATACCTTGGTGCAGTTAAAACATGTCTTTTGTGTCCTTTTAGATTTAATCTGTTTTTATAAAACCTACGAAATATACCAAAACTGTCAGCATACCCTAACAGAGTTTTCATGTGTGTGGAGCCATAAGGGTAATACTGTATATTACCTCTGCTAGCTCGGTCCACATGCTCCAGGTCTTCAACAAACTTGATCACATCTGGGAATTCCTCCTCACACACTTGCGCCAGGAAGTGGAGTAATGTGGTCTGTTGGTCCGCTGACTTAGTGTCTTTTAGCTGTAGTAAAACACATATCCACAAACACAAAGTTAAACACAAAGACCTATGACAGTAAATATATACATTTTATTTCAGATCCTTTACTCTAAACACAATATTAACAAATATAGATTCTATAGACAATAAAACAGCAATAGCAATAACACTGGCTACATAAAATGTCACAGGCTCACCATAACCTTAAGTATAGTTTTGTTGTAAAGGAAATGCTTTTAATAAATAATTCTTGTGCATTTGTGAATTCATTTGTTGAATCCATCTTACTTCAAAGTCCACTTGAAATCAAACTTAGTCATGTTTTTTAAATTTATTGTTAATTGTTTTTATTGTTAAAATTAAGATAAAAGTTATTTGGGGAAATATCAACAAAGCTGCCAGCAGCTGGCAGGCCACCAGGGTGCCGGGGTAACACCGTAAGGAGTGAGAGACAAAGTAAACAAACTTGTAGCTCATGAACACAATGTGTTCTTAGTGGTAATGAATAGTTAGGACCACATCAGCGTCTAGCCTGACAAAGTGACCTTTGCAGGTATGCTTACATGTGGTGTAATGTGCTGCAGCAGCTGAGAAGCTAATTAGCTAGCTAGACTGCAAACTACTGTTAGCCTTGTGCTATTGCCTGGTGAATGTTCATTTGGTCATTCGTTCAACAAGCTCAGGTGCAGGACATGACATGTGTTCATGTTGGTAAATAAGCTGCAAAATTCAGCTACCGTAAGCCCTTTTCAGCAGCTTTATAAATATTGAGTGTTGACAGTGCAACAGATTCCATGTCTCATACTCATGCAGCAGAAACACGTAAATTCATGTGATGACCTCTTGTGTGCTCTCCCCCCATCCCACATGCAACAATTTTTCAATTTCTCTGATAAATTTCCATCATTGCTCTTTTGCAGTCTAATTCCAAGATGTCTCTCAGTATCCCCGCCAAACATCCCTCCTGTGGAGTGCGTTGCTGTGTATCTCTCTAGGTGATCTATTGGTAGACAGCAGTGTACTCAGCCCTGCTGGGTTTAATCATGTTTGTATTATCTCCTCTAATCAAACATTCTCAGCTCTCTTTTCATTTCTGTTTTCTCATTTTTTCAAAGGCTTCAAGTGCTCACACACAAAAGGTCCCTGTCTGAATTTAGATGGATGATAATCATAGTTGACAATGTAAACATTTTGCTTTTTCCAGTTGGGCTGGGCGCAATTTTCCTGTGCTGTGGAGTGTGCCATGGAATTAAGTTGTCAAACTCGGGGGCAGGCGCGAAGGTGATGACTTCCTCTGTGTATCCTGCCTCTGACGTCGACACGCACCTTACTGTCACAACATGCAAGCACCAAGACATGGAAACAGACACGCTGGAAGACTAGTATTACAAAAATGCGCTAAACACAAAACATATTCCTTTACAGACGTTCACTAATTGATATTATATTATTGTCACGTTAATGAAACTAAACCATCATGTATTTATGTATGACTCCATGTTTGTGTGCGCACATGCACTGGTGTTTATATGAACATTAAGCATCCAAGTCTAACGGGGCAGAGAGGTGGCAGTGATGAATGGCTGCAGTGGTTGTTACTGTGGAAACTACAGTGAGTGTGTGCCAACAGCTGTAATGTAACCACTGGAGGAGTCTCCTACTCCAGGATTATACTCTGTTCTCACCGTCACTATCATAGAGGGAAACGTACTGTTCTGTTTTCATGCCACATAAAATCCAAAGGTATAGGCCTTTGCTATGTCTCTGCCCCACGAAGCGTGGGAAGTCCTGCAGGGTGTGTAAACTTTCAAAGGAACACTAGCCATAGCCTCAGTTATCTATTCTGAGCAGGAGAATAACAATAAAGTGCTCCCTGTGTTTGGGTGCTTTGAAAGATGCCAGCAGATAAGAGAAAGAACTGTCTTGTGGGGCTGATAGTGTTCAATCAAATGAAATAGTTTCAAACAAAATGTCTAATCACAGCAGCCACTTTAGATCAGTTCACTGATAGAGCTCTCAGCCAAGGTGACAAAATAAAAACAGACATGTATATGCATAGAGGCTAACAGGCAGCCACACAATTAGACATGCACAGGTATGTAAACAGACACACACACAGATACAATTTAACATTTCACATGTTAAAATGAAGAAGGCTGAATCTGTCTTCAGGACATCAAATGCGTTTGTGATGACTAACTGTAAAACATAAAGTGTGTTTTGTTTCTAAAATCAAAGTCTAAACATTATTGATTGTTTTGGACTAGGGCTTGTACTTATGATACAAAATGGCAATAAAATGTCCATATCGCAAATGAGCATTTTAACACATGAGGACTTTGATTACACGTAGACTCCAGTAATGAGAAAATAATCTGGCAGGCCTCTTTCGAGCTAAGATCTAAAAGTAAATTTATATCAAACTTATATTTACTGTGGTCCTTGTAGTATTATAAATATTATTAATATTATTACTGCTACTACAGCCTACTTGCTCTACTATACTGCAAACAGCTATGTAAAATCTATAAAGCGTATATGCAATGAGCTTTTTCCCTTGAACATTGTTTCACTTTTATCAGGGTTCCTACTCATTTTCCATTTCAAAATTCCATACTTTTCCAGACTCAAATAAATTGTTAACATGTATGCTATGTTCTGACTACGTATGCTATTATGTAGCCAAATATTTGTCAGAAGATTGTAGCTAGGTACTGTAGCTCATACATCAATAACACCAAACCACTGTGGCCCTTCAGTCCACTCTCCTATGCAGAAAGTTGGACGTTCCACTATCAAACATCTCCGCCCAAAAAGGAAGCAAACTAACGTGTGCTACCTATACTTGTATTATTTCCCCTGACTGCACTTGCTGCCTGCTATTAGAAAACAAAATAGGGACAATAGTCATGAAACACAACTTGTTTTCAATACTTACCCAGACCTGGAAATGAATAAAATCTAATTTCATACATTTCCATATTGCGTAGGAACCCTGTCATGTTGAACCACTGCCACTGGAGGGATAAAGGACTTGACTGTGTATGCAAAGAGGCGGCGGTGAGGTCGGCATTTCAACCCTCACCTTGCACAGCGAACTGAGGTCGAAGCCATATGACTGGGCGTTTCGAGAGCCTGCGTTCATGTAATTCCCCAGCAGTAGCACCAGCTCCAGCAGGCGGCCAAAGGAGCGGCTCTTCCTGACCTCATCACAGGCAGCATTTACAGCCAGGATATCTGGACGCAGGTTGTTTACGTGCTCTTCAAACTGCAGCCGGAAGAGGATATGGCTGAGACGAGGACGCAGCCGCTTCACACTGCTCATCTGGGAGAGGAGAACAGAAATGGATGAAACAAGGAAGCATGAACAAGAAAGAATAATACGAAAAGGAGAATTACAGAAAAGAGGATAAAGCAGGAGGGAAGAAAACAAAAGAGTAAGGAAAATTATATCAAGAGAGAACAAAGTCAGAGAACATAGTCAAACTTAAAATAACTACAATCGCAGTTTTAGCACACTCTCACATTCGGCCGATCTAATTTAAAAGACATTTATGCAACCGGCATGCTGGAAAGTGTTGCTAGGCAGTAGTAATAGATGCTGGCATTGATTTGATTTGGGACCCAGGTCTGGTAAGTTAATTGTGGAGTTAGTGTCCATATAGGGCAGGCAGCGGTGGGGGTGGAATATACAATAGGCTGCCTTGGATTACCACTCTCACACAATTAGAGAAAATTGGAAAATATTGCATTGGGCCCAGGGCTTGGCCACAACAGTGATTGTGAATGTGTGTGTATGTGGGGTGGTGGGGAGGGGCGCAGGTTCCAATTGTCTGTTTCACACAACAGCTGGCTGTGCGGTTTGATGTCCTCCATCAAGGGTTTAATTATAGCTACTGTAATGTTATCAAATGACTATTTCAGTCTGTGAGTGAGTGAGCAAGTGTGTGTGTGTGTGTGTGTGTGTGGTTGCCGACGAAAAGAAGGAGAGAGGAAACAGGGCAGGAGAAGAATATGACAAAAAGCACAAGAACCAAACATAATGCTGCAATGGAGCTCAGAGATGGGATGAATTATGTGATAAGGTAATTGGGAGAAAATAATCAGAAGGAGAAGAAATAAAGAATACCCACCACAGGGTTTACAGGGTGAATGTGTACAGCAAAAGTGAGCTGCTGAGGGCAGTACAAACAATATGAGTGGACGGAATCTAACATAACAAAACTGTACTCCAAAGCAGAGGTTATGGAACATGTAGTTTGTGTATTGCAGAGTTATAATCCCGTGAGGTGGTGGGATGGTGACAGGGAAAAGACAATTCTGTTGACATACTGTAGATTTATCGCTATCAAGAGTGCGAACACTGAATAAAAAATTGTGCACCATATAGTGTAAAAAAACAACAAATTAATGTAAGTAAATATTTTGGCAACTTGTAATAAACGTTGAGTACTGTCAAGATCAATTTAAATCATAGATGAAAGACTTTAATTCAAAGAAGTGCTAGTCATAAGTACTGTGACTACAGTTGAGCCAGCAGGATGCTGGCAATAACAGCTTCTGTACTGCCTGCTGACTAGTGAAAAACATTATGGAAAACAATACTCTGAAGATAGAGAGCTTTTTTTGTCTTTTGACTTCTTGTCACTAAGGATGTACTCACACGAGGCAATCCGTACGGTGCCCGAGCACGTTTAACTCCCAAAGTCCGTTTTGTTTGACCAGTGTGATACGCTTAACCGCACGGTTAGGTTGGACTCCGGCACGGTCCGCATCTAGTGTAATCGCTAACTGTCCCCGAGCACAGAACCCCGACACAAACTCCACTGTGCCGTGACAAAGAATGAAAATTGATATCGACTTCCAGCTATGTACAGTGTGTTTACCTCGAAAACTCAGCTATGATCTAACATTAACATAGCTCTCCCTATCAGCTAGGCTCCTTAAACGCTTGCTAATAACCTTTTTTAAGGTAGGTCTCCGACATTGGCAGTTGTGTTGGACAGATTTGTGTAAGATACATTTAACTTGTAGCTGCCGACAAAAAAAAAAAAAAACATGACTACATTACCCTTGTGTCCTAGGCACTGTTAGGATTTTTACAATGTAATCAGATCTATCCCTTTGAATATACACAACTACTACACACTCCTACACACAAGGCAGAGTTCAAATCAAGTGTGAGAGTGGCGGACATGGAAAAAAGAAAAGATAAAATGCATGTGTTTGCACAATGGTAAATTAAAAATTCCCTTTGAACCTGAGCTTTTCTGATAGGTGAAAGCACACAGGCCTCCTTGGGCCCACGCAGGCACAGCAGCGAAACAACATTATATAAGCAGGCACTTCTTTGTTCTATGTCTCCCTGATGAACTATACACAACAGCTGAGCATGCTCTATTTTTTATCTTTTAGCCCCCCACCCCATTAACCACTCAGTCACTGCGTTTCCATTCAGTGAGAAGATTCTCTTTTATATGTGTCTACAAAACAGGTGGGTGCATGGGGCAAAAGAAGAAGAATATTGTTATGTTTTGTCAGTAACTCTGTCGCTAGGCAGAAACAACAAAATACACAAAAAGTGCTACACCCCTCATACATAATTCTGAATAAACCTTCTTTTGAAAAGTCTTTAAGAAAGCGATGCTGACATAATTAGGCAGCAGTGCTGCTCTTTAATGTGCATAAATTAGTGCAGCAGTCCACAGGTGTCCTGTCTTTCCTCTTAAGGCTTAAAAAGACAGAATTTTAAAAAGCTAGGGATTAGAATATTCATATGAAAGTGCTCTGTGTGTGTGTGTGTGTGTGTGTTCATAGGAAAGAGAAAGAAATGGTGAGAGATTTGATGTAAATACAAGACGAGTTTAGATTAGTATGACATTAAAGTAGTAATAAACCAGTTTTATATAACTGCTTCTATAATTATATTCGTACATTCGGTAAACCAGTTTTTTCATCACACTCTCTTATGACACATAACAGAGCATAAGGTTGTCAATCAACAGAAATACAATAACATAAGGAAAAATTATTGTTGTGATGCATGTGTACATGTTGAGCTATAACCACCTGGTGGGGAGTTTTATAGTGTTGTGTGTGTGTTAAGTGAGTGTGTGTTTTTGTGTGTACTCACCACAACCCCAAACTGCTCAGGCTCTGACAAATTCGCATACTCATTTTTATACTTTGCCAAGGCGTTCAGCTGCTCCTGCTCAGGTAGGTGTTTCACAAGGTTCTACAAAGAAGAGCGAGGAAGATGGAGTGAGAAGCAGCAAGGAGGAAAGCAGAGCAGAGAAAAGCAGCCAGTGTGCATTTATTTAAAAATATCCTTGTGATGGTGATGTTGTGATGCCTGACACTTTATTTCATTAATTGTAATCGGTACATTATAAAACCCTCATTTTCATGTTCCAATTTATTTGTCAATTACAAAATACAATGACCCAAAGTGTCCAAAAATGAAGGCATTCACTCTGGGAGGAATGGCTAAATCTGGGTTTTAACAGCCATGAGGTTGTCCACAGTGCACAGTCCATGCCTGAACAGCAATGTGGTGTTCTTTGAATTTAATGTAAAACGAGCCCTAGGACTACCACCCTTTGCACTGTGCTTGTAAAGAACTCTAACCTACTGCTTTTCTATTTGCTGTGTGTTTAGGTTACGCCTAAGCCCTGTTGGTGAGTTTCAGTAAAAATTAAGTTTTGTGACTGCAATAAAATGTATTTTATTATCAAACAGAAACTATATCCTTGGGGCTATATATATATATATACATACATACACACACACACACCTATATACACCCGGCTGCTTTTATACACCTATATAGACAATTGAAAGTAAAATGGTGTAATTGTTTTGTTTTTTTTAAACAGCCAAAAGGAATAAATGTTAAATTATTTAAGCCATGTTGATTAAATTGCCTTCTCATCTGAATTTAACAGCCATCTAAACAAATACTGCTACTATGTGGTAAATATGTTGGTCTGATGCATTTAAATTGGGTTGAATGTCTGTCCCTGATGCCTGGAGTCATGACAAATATTGCCACTTCCATTACTTGAGTTTTTATTGATGCAGTATAATGGAATTTGTCTTAATGACTAATGAATTATTTGCGTGTCGTAATTAACAATTATAGATCAAATTACTTCTTTAAAATGTACATCCGTAGCTAAGGTTTGTTTTTGCTTATTTGTTTCAACTCCGCTTACCCATGCAAAAAGCGACCGATCAGAGTTAAATAATTTAAACCCTTACTTGCATTGATCAACTTCTGAGGCACAAACTCTAAGCCATTCACTTACATCTATAAACTGATTTAAATTGGCTTGACGAATGTACACTGCATGCTTATAATATACTTATTGATTGATTGCCTTTAATTTCAGCCATTTAGACTACTATAGCTCTGTAGATACTGACAAGAAGTAGAATATTGGTGTACATTTTCACATTCTAGCTTTCCAGCACTGGGTACCTGTCTCCTTCAGAAGTGATTTTAAAGTTTCATCGCTTGTTTCCCCCTTCCTACACTGTTGACCTTCTGTCCTTCAACTCCAGTTAGTAGCCTAAGGTCTGCCGACCAGTTATTGCTGACTGTAGCCAGTGAAAAGCTGTTAACAGCATTCGCTGCCAGGGCTCAAACCCTTCATGACAGCCTTCCGTTTGAAATCAAGAAAGCAATGTCAGTGTCCTCTTTTAAAATGCAATTAAAAGTTATTTTAAATCATCATTCATTCATCAATCAATCATTTTTACTTTCACTTGCTTTTTATTCTTATTAATTGATGTTATCGCATTTTGTTAATTAAATATTTCATCTTCTAAACTATATCATGTATTTCATGTGCTCTAGTGAGTATGTAAAGAAATGGCAAAGAAGGATTCTGGTAACTGAGAGACAGATTTGTTGTTCCAAGGAAACATAAAAGGGACCAAAAGTTGTTATCCTTAAGATTTGGTGTTGGCATTAGATGTGTTCTCATGTTGTATGCTGGCACTGTATCTCATCGGCCGGGCTCAATAAACCATGCTATGTTTAATCTTCATCAGTCTCCGAAACGTCTTCATCGCACCTATACCTGGCTCACAATTTCTCTCTTAAACACTTAGTAATGTCTATTACATTCTAAAACATTTTGAACTTTAAAATATACACTGCATCTGTCATAAAACTCCAGTAATGGTCAGGGTCTACCCTGAGACCAACAAAAACAAGAAGCAGAAACTTCTTCAGAGCTTGACAGTCAACAAGGACAGACAAACACACAGGGAAAGACAAACAGAGAAACTGACAGACATAGACCCTATTTATAGTACACCTGGCATTGTAATCTGTATCTGAGACATCTGAAAGGCAGACAGATACTGTACTTGCTTCTAGTGTGTGTTTTACAGCTAGCATTATACTGAAATGTTGAGCACATAGAAGTCATGGCCACAACTCTATGTTGTAAAGCAGTAACAAAAAAGAAAAGCAGAAAAATATAATTACAAAAATAGTTCTTAACATCCACATAGCACTTATTTATTTATTCACAGCTTGCCTGTGCTTACCAACTGCTT